AGAGACTTGATCAATGTGATATTTTACACATTAAGAGGAGCTTTAAATGGCCCCTCCAAATATGAAACATGAAAAACAGGAAATAAACAATTTTTTTTAAATTGGCAACAATTCTTAAAGTTTCTATCTTTTAAAAAGTGAAAGATGACAGTATAAAGAAAGTTTAGAAAAGATGCAGCCAGTATGTTAAAATAACCAAATTCCTTTTTTGGAGAAGGCAAAGACCCGTGTAACGAGAGTCGGTCGGTAAGGGACCCCATCAGACCCACAGCAAGATGACGCAGGTCATAGGAGGAGCAATGAAGAAGATTAGGAGAAGGAAGAGAAGAGGAGGAGAAGGAGAAGAGAGGAGCAAGAACCACCAGCAAACAGTGCCTGGTAGGGATCCAGTGTGCTCGGCTGGCTTCGTCTTTAAATAATACTAGATTACACCTCTTGAGGTGATAATGATTCATTTTATGTCTGTCGTATTTTTCAGGATGTTTAAACAAATAACCAGAAAAAAATGTTTATAAACAGTTTGTAAAGTATTAATTTAAAATGTGTGGTTCATTCATATGTGTTGTGTGATTAGATATAAGGCCTCTCCAAAGTAAGCTACCAAGCTGAATTTTAAGCAGAGCCCAGCCACCGCTGTCCTTCGTCTCTAAACAATCAATTTTATGTTGTGAGGAACAAAACTTTCCACATACCAAGTTTTCAGCCCACTGCAAGTTCTGCTCCAAGACCAACGGCTTGAAAACCTGAGGTGCAGAAATCTGGCTACATTAAATCAGGACTGGAAACATCACCATCTACTGCAGCTTACCCACACAGAAAAACAGGATCAGTTGGAACTTATTTATCTCAACTTCTTAACATTTCTTTTTTGGGTGGTTGTGTTTCATGTTTGAGGCTGCAGTGTTATTTTTTCCATCTTCTGGATGCATCGGGTCCTTTTCGTTCTCTCTCCAATTATCTGTTATTCCTGTGCAGCACTTTTAATAACCCATCAATTATCATCATCTTCATCCCCAAAGGAATCAATTGTCGTGCAGCACAGCTGATATAAAACTCACTCAGACAGACATAACGCCAAACCAAGATGGATGACCCATCTTTAAATTCGTTTTATTTCAAAAGATCATCAAGAGATTTTATAACTGTGGGTAAATGTGCAACACAAATATAGTACCTAAACTAAAGGCATTTGTTTTCATTTTAAAAGCTTTAGACAATCATTATGAATTAACCCCTTAAGCCTGGCGGGCCTGCTATCGGGCCCACTTTTAAAGATGGCCAAAACAAAGTCACGTGGTGTTTCAAATGGGGCTTTAAAATGTCTAAAATACGTTTAAAAATATTTTTAACAAATACTTGTTTTAAAGCTGTGTAAACAAATAAAATAAGATTTAAAATTCCACCTGAAATGTGTGACTCTGCAGGAGTAATGCAACAACAGGTATT